ACAAATTAGTGAGATTGTGTGAACTTAATTTGTCGTTTATGGAACCGCTTTAGCCCTGATTGATTTGTTAGGTTATTTCAAGTCAGGTTTTGGACTTTAATCCCAGTTTTTTCTCGGGTCTCCGTGGTGTTGTGATTGTCATATTCACGCAGCAGCGGTGATGAGAGAGCGCGCTTGAAAAACAAATACATAGATCACAGATTATTGGTCACTTTCTAAATAATCCACGCATCCACTAGTAATTATATATAAATCGTTTTTTACAGATCCAAATATGTTAGAAACGATGCATCACGATACAAATGCAGACTTGTAGCCGATACACACTTTTTAAACCGATGCATCGTATCGTTAACTTTTTATGCCGATGCACCGAGCAAATCGGGGAATCTTCCCATCCCTAGTGTGTGTGTGTGTATGTATGCATGTATGTATGTATGTATGCATGCTTGCTTGTATATATTAGTGCTGGGCAACGATTAAAATTTTTAATGATTAATGAAAAATAAAATTTTTAACGATTTTCTGTGATTAATCACGATTAATCGCATTATGCACAAAATTCAATAATAAATTCAAAAGTAGTGTATTGTGCACTTCATTTAAAAGTACTGCTATATGAACAAAAGTGCAATAACATTTGGTTTACAAACACTTTAAACATATAAGGTGCTTTTTATTACAGCAGTATTCCTTTTACATAGTAGCAGTTAAAATATTTCTTGTAAATCTCAACTTAAACATTAATGTAATCAAATTAAATATAAAACCAAAGCTATTTGCCACTGCCAGGGCATTAGCATTTTTATAGAAAATAATTTATATTTTGTTATAGAAAAACAAGTTATGCTCAGAGTCCAGAGCCTCGATCATAACATTATAACAGGCACCTTCTGAGTAGAGAACTGCACGCGGGACCCAACGCAGCAGAGTGTGGCGCGGGACAACACTTGATGGACGAGTGCGGGCAGGTAGAGACTCGTGTGGGATGCGGGAGAATAAGGGTGTACTCACACTAGGCAATCTTAACCGTGCCAAAGCACGTTTGACCACCAAAGCCCCGTTCGTTTGACTCCCAAAGCCCCGTTCGTTTGACTAGTGTGATCGCTCTGTGCCGCGCTTGGGCGCGGTTCGTTTAGCCGTCCCTGGCTCGGTTGGAAGAGGTGGGCCAGAGTGTGGTTCAGTTATATATAGATCAGTGAGTGGGAGTGCTAACCGTGCCGGAGCGCGGAACTTCTGATACCTGAGCACGATTGCGTATATATATTGCGAGAGGGCCATGTGTCACCGCGTCCCAAACGACTCAAAATAATAAACCACAAAGTTAACAAAAAGATGCACTCCACTGTGCTGAGCGAGAGTGCTTTCTCTGCTGTCTTCACGTGCTATCGGAAACTTCCTATGTATATATATATATATATATATATATATATATATGTATGTATATATGTATGTATATATATATGTATATATATATATATATTTATATTTACATTTACATTGCAGTGTAAGAATTAGAGCCCGACCGATATGGTTTTTTGAGGGCCAATATGGATATTAGGGAGTAAAAAACGGATATTCTAGATATTCTTTGTGTATATTATAGTACAGTACCAGTCAAAAGTTTGGACACTTTCCCATTCGTGTGTCCAAACTTTTGACTGGTATTATATATAGAATGCAGTATATACATAAACAGTTTTACTGGTATTATATATAGAATGCAGTATATACATAAACAGTTTTTGCAATGATCACTCAAATGTGGTGATGAAACACTTATAATGACGTGACAAAGATATGTAATGGAGGCAGGGTATTTAACAATACACTTTATTATCCAAAATGAGTCTGACATCAGTGCACTGAACAGTAAAATTGAAGTTTATTCAACTTTATTTCAATTAAATTCCATTCAAATTTATTCTGTTAAAGTTTTTCACGTCGGAACATTCATTCATAGATTTGCGCTACGCCACTGTCTAACACACAGATGAAACTTACTAGAGATGTGTGACATATACCTCTGTAAATAAATACTATTTAAATTCACGTCTCGCGCACTTTAATGCCCTTTGAATGCAACATGTGATGCACTCCACTGTGCTGAGCGAGAGTGCTTTCTCTGCTGTCTTCACGTGCTATCGGAAACTTCCTATTTCTCACTTATGAAGTCGTGATTACGAGCACGTTCAGAGCCAGTGAGCAACGGGCACACTTACGGTCGAATAGAACAAACCTCTGATAAGAGTGATAAGAGAAACATACAAAATGTGCAGAGAAGGGGGTCGCGAGGAACAGGATTAAGAACCACTGCTTAATAGCATTGCGTCTCACCAACTTAGCGCTAAATCGCCATTCAACAGACTCAAGCCACAAATTAGTTAGCAACTTACAGTTAAGACGCCGCTCGAATGCTGCTGCCTGAACAAGAGACTTCCTTACTGAAGTGAAAGGGTTGGCTGTCACTATCTCGCGAGCACGGTGGCGGATCTCCACCAAATTCGGGGGATCCCTTCAGCTCGAGGCCCCCTCTCGAACGCCGCACTCTGCGCGTTGGTAGCCCACTGACCAGATTGGTCGGCACCCGACCGCAACTTTGACCGCCCGTTTTATGTCCTGAAAAAAAATATTGGTAACTAACCGCAAATATCATATCGGTGGCATATCGCCGGCATATACACCGATACCGATATATCTGCGACAGGCTCATATCGGCTGATAAAATCGGCAAAACGATATATCGGTCGGGCTCTAGTAAGAATTGTTTTTGTTTAAAACCGCTTCAAAATGACACAATTATACAAACATGGCAATTCATAATAAACTGCAATATTTACCTCTATATAGTTTTATTAAAGCATTTCGCATTAACATACGAAAATGACTGTAGCCCTGTAGCCCTGACTTATAATTAAAGGCTTTTTACTTTGCTTGCGATGTGAGTGCCTGGATGTGGATTTTTCTGTTTTTTTTGCAATGGGATCCACTTTTTGTTTTTATACGAAAATGACCATTTCAAAGAACATTTTTGAGTGAGGATGTAAACAAATCATTGAATAAGACTTTTGAATTGATTCTTTGAAACCAATTCACAGAAATGAATCAAACTTGCCAGGTCCAACAGCATATATTCTATTGACTTAAGCAGATATGCTGTTAAAAAGTCAAATCTTAGCACTTTATTGCCAAACAAGAAAATGGAAGAATCACAAAACTAATCTGATTCCATGGTCTTTAGGAAATTCAATGGCCATATAAAAAGCCCAATAAAATCTTTGCAATATTCACAGCATTGTTTTATATTGCCAGCAGAATCATTTAGAATGTATTGTGAATATTTAATATCACCCAGTCCTACTTTACTGGATTTTGATGAGCTAAAGGCACAGGAAGGCAATAATTTCACACCGTAATAGCACATTATTGATGAAGATCACATTCTGAAGCCTGGAAATTTGACTGAGATTCAGATCTGTGCTTCCACAAGAGCAGCTCCTTGTACTGGAACCCATTTCATGTTTCAAATCAACTAATTTCCTGTAGTGCACTTGTGGTGATTCCATCAAATCTCAATGGATAAAATGAACTCCTGCCCCACGTTGTTTCCAACTGAATATTGTTTCACTTGGAAAGAAAACACATTAAAGACAATGTGTGAATGTTGTTTTATGTTGACTTCAATGACCCTAACCAATCAACATTTGTAAAAAAGTTTTAATACATTTTTCAGTTAGATTATTTTTTCTTTTTAATTCAACCGCAAAATGTTTTTTAACCATGTAGTAAGAGGCATTGTTTTTTAAATGTTTGAATTAAATGCTTTACAAAGATACTTTATTTCAAAATGTAAGTGTTAATGTACAGCCAGCTGGTCATTATGAGATTATGAGAAACCCTGACAGGATGATCAAAACACTGATTTGAAACAATGTCTTATAAAGAGTAGGGTATCATATATGAAAGTGGTTTTGCGCAGCTTGTCTGTGAACAACGGCTCTGTGTAGTAAATGCTGCTTCATGTGAAAGCACGCACGTGATGGAGATTTACCGCTGATTACAGAAGCGGCTTTACTGACAAGATGCACATTAAATATCGCATGCAATTTATCGTGCAGCCCTAATAAAGAGCATAATTTTATGCTAGTGGCCAGCTGAAATTTTAGCACAAACTCCACCGGTTAGTCTAGGTCACATCCCTGACCTCACATTTTCTCACATGTATTTGTGTTTATCTCTCTCTCAGAGTGTCAGAACGCCTTCGCCCTGGTGGTACGTCCTCCTACAGAACAGGAGAACCTGTTATTCAGTTTCCAGCTGACGGCCGAAGACACCCTCAAATCCACCTGGCTCAAAACACTCTGTCGTCAAGTGGCCAACACGATTTGCCGAGCTGATGCGGTGAGCGGACACACACACATGAAACATGGCCACTTTCTCCTCCGATCATCCCTCTCAGGTCTGGAACAGAACTCAATTATTTATTTTATTAGCTCTGCTTTCTTTTTATTGTGGTTATAAATTAGGAGGTTTGTGTGGGCCTTTTGGTGTTGGCTAATCCTATTAGATGCTCCTGTGTGGTTAAACTGGAAGGCAAATTAATTTAATTAAGAGTGGAATTGTACTTTAACTTTACACTTCAGATGCAGACGTCTTTATCTTCATGCTGCAGAACCGCAGGTTCTGCCCAGGCCTTCCAAAACGGGGCACGTAATTGACGCAGGCAGACAGATGCATGTATTTCCCTATATAATTAAACATCCAGACCAAACCCTGTGGCTAAATGCGTTTCGGCCTGGCCTGCAGTTCTCCCAATGGCCATGAGGTGGCAACCTATCCACACGTCACCGGTGTGAAATACGGCCACTTTCGATCTCTGCTCCTGTGAATATCAAGAAGCCCCAGCTGTTTGGAAGGCTGAACAGTGACGCTTCTCTTTGCATTTTGACAGGCCAGCAGTATCGCTGTGTATTTATTTAATTTTACGTGTCTTAAACAGGAAGATCTCATTCAGGGCACCGATCCTGACTCCGTCCAAGTGAGCACAAAGGACATGGACAGCACGCTCAGCCGAGCATCCAGGGCCATCAAAAAAACATCAAAGAAGGTAGGGAGAGGAACTTGAAACAATTGAAAATGACACGATGCGCATGCATGCTGTCAATGTTCAGGAGGCTTTCTTGAGAATTGCATCATAAAGTAACTGTTTTTAACCCAGTGGTTAAAACAAAGAAACTTTGTAGAAAACAGACTAATTGTGCATGTTTGTGTTTTAGGTCACGAGAGCTTTTTCTTTCACTAAAACCCCCAAGCGTGTGCTTCAGAGGGCGTTTATGGCCAACGGTACCCCAGATGAGAGGAGTCCTGGCCCAGATGCCGATCACATGGGCCGAATGTCCAGCAGCTCCACACTGGCTGTGAGTCCACACACACATTTTCTTCTCTTTTCCACACAGTCTGTCGATTTATTCTCACAAATCTACTGATCTAACTGTAACGAATCAGCTCATGGGAAATATGAATAATTAATCATAACTAGTTATAATTAATTATGAATATTTTAGATCCGCTGTAGATATTTACTTGACCTCTCAGGGTCAACTGTCTTGTCAATTCTAAGAACGTTAATTTCCTGGTTAAGGGAAATAACTTTCTTACTGTACAATACGAATGAAAGACACACACCTGTCGACGATGCATGAATAATGCACTCACCTTTAAGTAAGCCGTAATCACATTGTTTAGAAAACATGCACAACAACAAATGATGCATTTATGTGCTCCTTCAAGGGCAAAAATAAATATATAAGAATAAAGCAAAAAAAGCTGAAGCTTGGCATCTATTCAAGCGATATAAGGAGAGTGAGAAAAATGTTTGTTTTTGTTTTTTCCCCTCTTTTTTTAATCTTTTTTTTAATCTGTATGTTTCTGCATACAGTGGGCATTTTCAATAAATTTTTTCGTAGAAATATCACATGAGCAAGCGTGCTGTTCTGAATATCAGCAGCTGCGATTGGACTTTTTTAAAATATATATTTACTGTTTTTCAATAAAGTATTGCTATTTTGATCTAAAATTAAATATAACCGTTTGATTTTAATGTAATGTATATATTATTTATAAAAATATGTACATTTAAAAGACAGTAACAGTAATAATAATAATTTAGTTAAATTTGAAAATATAAACTGCTGCAAAATAACAGCTGGTATTGAAATGCGACTAGTATCATTGGTGTTGACTGCTTAAATAAAAGGGCGCAAGTGTGTGTGTGTATATATATATATATTAGGAGTGTAATGGTACACAAACATGACGGTTCGGTACATACCTTGGTTTTGACGTCACGGTTCGGTATGATTTCGGTACAGCAGGGGGGAAACTAAAATTGCTTTTTTTATTATTAAACAGTGGTTTACTGAACAAATTACAATTTTAATTTTCTTAGGGATAAAAATCTACGTCAGCTTATGCCAACTATAAGGTTACAATTAACAACAGAGCCCAAACTTAAATTTAATTACTATTTATTTTTAAACATAATAATCAGCACTCAACTTTAAAAAAAAAAAGAAAAAAAAGTATGTAAACATGTAAATTGCACATAATGCCGTTTTTAAATAAACTTCTAAATTATAAAAATTGTATTTGTTGACATATAATCATTTACACAGTGGCTCTCATAACGTTTTCATAACAGATTTATTTAAACATTAAATAATTAAGACATCACTAACAGGTAAAGTAAAATATAATGAGTATAAAGTCTAATATTTTGCGAAATGCTCTTCTCGAGTTAAAGGGGTCATATGATGCTGCTAAAAAGAACATTATTTTGTGTGACGTTTTGTTTACAAGCTGTTTTATTGACGTGTTTCCACGGTTGAAATGCTGATTGAGTGATTGTGTGAGGCATGAGATGTTCTTTCATGGTTATTTCATGCTATAACTATAGTAAAGAGGAAGGGATGATCGTGCTGCCGTTTGAACTGAGGCCTTTATACAGCGATCTGTCGCGCACATCAAAGAGCGTCAAAACGACATTTATTGTTTGAATTTCCTGAAAAAAAGGACATAATTTGAAAGATGAAACTGTTTCTTATCAAAAATAACAATATATAACTGGAAGTTTCCAATGAAGTTTTACTTGTGCAGTGGTTAAAACAATGCTGTATTTGTTCGGTACACATGCGTACTGAACCGAAAGACCCGTACCGAACATTTTCGAAACGAATACTTGTACCGTTACACCCCTAATATATATATTTCTCATATATGATTTGGTGCTCAAGAAACATTTCTTATATTATCAATGCTGAAAACAGGTGTGTTGCTTGATGGAGAAAAAAAAAAAAGTAATTTTGTTATTTGTGAATATGTCCATAGGGAGTGCATTGTTTCCACTCAAAATGTTTTCACTTAAATTTTCACTTTTGATGTGAATAAGCCTTGAATCCGAAATATTAAACTACAATGAGCCATCTTTTATTCAGACACCTTTTTTTTTTTTCAGAGCACAATGGCTTTTCATTGAACTGCTGAGAATAATTTGGCACATAAATTGTTCAGATATTTCATACTTGTGTGTGATTTAGTCACATGGCACTTGGTGTAAACAGGCATTTACATAAATTCAAGTCTCTCATCCAGTCAAATTGCACATTTTAATCTCATTTTCTACAGCTGAACCTTTGCAGTATTACTTGCCAATTCGGTTGGATTGCATTTCCCTATCAGAGGACTTACAGGTTGCCTTGGTCATTCACTCATGCTTTTCTTTCCTTCAGCATCAGGGGTCTTGAGCTCTTTGCTCCATTTGAAAAGGGATATTTTTACCTTTTCCATTAAGGTGATTCATGCACTGCTAAATATTTGAGAAATCCCTACCTTCACGCTCAAATTTTTCTCTTCCTCTTTCAATTTTAAAGTGAGTGATTGTGAGGGCGTGCAATGAAAAGGCGGTGCAAGATGAGGTTAATGCACTCTCTCTCTTTCTCTTCCCTCCGTGCGAGTGTAGATGTCTCGTTCTGCCTCTACGTTCAGTCTGACGGACTCTATTAAAAGCGCAGTGGTTCAGCGGTCAAACTCTCTGGACCATGCCCCGTGGCGCAGGGTCCCGGTGTGTGTCCGCACTCCGTGCAGTCCAGAGAAGGCTGATAAACCAGCAGCTCCCAAAACCCAGCTCAGACCATCCATCCTGTCCCTCCCAGCGGCCCAGCCCGTAGCTCAGTGCCGAGAGCTGTTGGCACCCCCTGAGCCGCAGCACAGGTTCCCTGGGTCCCCGCGGCGGGAGACCCTCCTGTAGGACTCTTGAATGTGAGCACAGCAGTTCTGCCTCTTTGACTCACTGTGACTTTTACTAACTCACATCTGGGGACGGTGTTAACACTAACTCACTACCGCACAGATGGGCTATGGTGGCACTCAATTATAGATGACCTGAGGACTGGTTCAAGAGGGATAATTCTCTTCAAAATTTAAATGGTAATTTCCTCACCCTCATGCTGGCTCCTCTATGTAATTTACTGTAATGTTGAGAAATGTATTAGTAATGCACTATTTTTCCCATCATGAAAGTGAATGGGGATCCAGACTGTCATCAAATGACATAAATCTCCATAATAGTAACTTGACTGAAATTTTGTCCGTTGTTAACTTATCCTCACCCAACTTATACACAGTAGCTATAATCTCATTTGTATTTTTCATATTGACACTTGCCACGTTGTAAATGTTGAATGTGCATCATGTGGCAAATGATGACAGGCCACATCATATTAATGTCATGTCTTCAAATTTGACTTGTTGCTTTATTTTAGTATTATTTGCATAAAATGTTAGTATTTGTTAATATTATAAATTAGCTAGTATTTGTTAATATTATAAATCAGCTTTTATTTTTATATTTTAAGTTTTAATTTTAGTATTTTTTTTTTAGTACTTCAACTTAAAAAAAAAATTTAATGTTGCTTTGGCAACTAACTAAAAATAAGTTTAGTTTTATCTTTTCATCTAATAATTAAATTTTATTTCATTTCAGCTTTATTTAAATTAATGATTTTTTGGTAACACTTTTTATGAAGCCCGTATTTATAATACATTATAAGGGTATTCTTAAGGCATTATAATAAATGCATAATGCATTATAAAAAAACCTTATATGTTGTATCATCTCATGAATATTCATAATAACATTTTTATTATATTATAATATTTACTTATTTGTGGTTATAGCTTTTAAGAGTATGATGATTTATAACACAATGAACACGTTGCATCCACTTTTACAATGGATTATATTTCTCATAGTTATAATGTATTATATTATAACTGTTGTTATGATTTGATATAACATATTATAAGTTTTTTTAATAATACATTATGCATTCATTATAATGCCTTAAGAATACCCTTATAATGTATTATAAATACGGCTTCATAGAAAGTGTTACCAAATTTTTTTTAAATAGTTTTAGTTAACAATATCAACCCTTAAATTTTGTGTATCATGCTCAAATTTTTGTTTCATGCTCAGAATTATTATATTACTTATTATATATATAATTTTAACTGTTGCATAAGAGTCATATGAAACAGTTTTATAATATTTCCCCATTTCAAAATTCATTCCGCATTCACTTTCATTCGATGGAAAAGTGTGTTAAAATATCACCTTTTGTGTTTCATGGAAGAAAAAATGTCATGCATGTATGACATGAGTTAAAAAAAAAAAGAATAGAATTTGTTCACTCAAAAAAAATCCAACTTATTCTGATAAAGTTAAGATTTTCATTGAATACAAGTTTAATTTTTTGCTTTGTTCCAACAAAAAAGAAGTGTGACGTAACAATACAGGTGAAGAGCCCCTTAAACGCAGACCTCAGATCATTTATGCGGGGTGAAATGTGACATCTCAGATGCTTTTATAGTTCCATGATTCTCAGTATAATGACGGTTCTTATAATAAAGACGTAATTGTTACTGTGGCAATGTGATTTTTCTTTTTTCCATAAATCTCATATTTTTACTGGGATACTGTTACGAGATCATGTTGGCATGATCTATGGGCGCGACAGCTGTAAAGTAGCTGATGACCATGATTTAATCTCCTATTTCTAATTTGATCCCATAAACTATAATCTGTATACTGGAGTGTGTGCGTTTAGCACAATCAAGGCAATTCAAGTTCAAGGCCACCTTAATTCTTATTAAGCAATGCTAAATAATAGGATTATTGTTGTGCATGTGTGAAAGCAGCCTGGTGCTCGTTACATCTGTGAGCACATTAAGAGTAAAACAAAATAAATTGGGTTTGTGGTTTGCTAACCTTCTTTTCACCTTCACATCTCTGTTTAAAGGGAAGAATACAGTATTATCCTCTGCATGGAGGTTAACACTCCTTTGGGTAACACTGTCGGTTCTGAAGGGTGAACACTTAAAAAGGGTCAACCGTGTGCATTCTTACCACAGCGAGCTTGTAAAGCCAATATCATTAACACAGATTTCTCTCCTCGCCTTTTCTCACTCCTTTGAATAAACACTCACAAAAACCTGTGAACCTCAGGCTTCTGCGAGAACACTTGCGATTTAAAAAAGGCTAAGCACTGGCTTTTGGTCAAAAGAGAAAATCTCAACACTATTTAATGATTAGTTCCTACCCTAAATCCATGAAGATTAGCTGTAGTTTTGTAGGCTTCAGCAGGGATGGGCAGCGTGATTCTCAATACCATGAAGTGTTATTATTTTTAACAAATTTACAGATAAAATATTGGTTGAAAAAAGGATTTTGATAGTGAAGTCTAGATGTAAATGATTATGACAGTTAAATAATTACAATAAACTTGATGGAAATCTAAGAAAAGTAACAGATATTAATGCACTTACAATGCAGAATGTTTATGCAAATAATTGTAGAAAAAAAAAAGTTTATATATAAAATGTATAAAATCTTAATTATTCCAAAATATTGACAGGTATGAATTTATAATATTTCATGGGTTAATGTTTATACTTTTTCCCCCCACAGTTTTATCTGTAATAGTTTGACACGTTTTTGTGTGAAATGTTTGTTGCCAAATTCTATAACAATATAAACCACACTAACTTCAGTCTTATAATCAATATTTTGTCATTCATTTACTTTAAAGGACATTTTTCTTTAAAAGACAATTAAAAAACAAAGTATCACTGATTCCATGTGACTGTAGAAATGTCAACTTGACGCATTATTACAGTATTCAGTTCATGTGCAAATTCAATTCATTTTGTTCAATTCTCAGCTACTTTACAACTTGTTGGGCTCATCTAATCAGAATTTAGGGTTAGATTTATCAGTTTTTATAATGTTAGTTTTGCTGTTTTGAGTCGTTTTTTTATTATTATTATTCATGTTACATAATTTGAAATAGTTTTCATATTAATGCTAGGCTTGCCGCGATAGACGGTGTTGACGGTGATACCGGTGTTAAGCCACAACACCGGTTACGTCACTTGCCCACCGCGTCACCGACCCCCACCGTCATTTTGATTTTTTATAAAAATAAAAATCATTTAGTTCAGTAAAAGAACAGACACTGCAATTAAAAACTGAACGCGGCTGCTCAATGAATTTATTTATTTTATTTTTATTAATTTTTTTGCTCACAACGCCCACTCCTAGACTCCAGTGTGAATAGTTTGTACAAAGAGCCCTAAGTGCATTACAGCTTTAACCAACACTTGCAAGACGCTGCATTAAATCCTTTAACAAGGTCTTCTGGGTATGAAAATGCACCAAAGGGTAACACTTCCACCACGTACAATTGAGCACTCTTGAGTCTTAAACTAATTACAGACTGGAATGGAAATAACCTAGAATAACCCTGAAACTGTCCTTTCATCGCTAAATTGCATTTCTCTCTTCCATTTTCTTTTTCCAGGCTGTTCATTCCCCATCGATGATCAACCTGTCCTCCGCCTTCGAGAGGAAGTATCATACCTTCAGCAGATCCACAACTCACCTGTTCTGAACTTTGCATCCTGAGTTGTCATTAATTTCCACACTACTACCACGTCCGCCCGACGCCTCCAGCCCAAGACCCCCACCTGGGTTTAATTTGCAGCTCCAGAACCCACCAAATGAAGTACAGCTTGTGTTGATGTCAATGTCTGGGCACATTTAATTAACCTTGAAGAGGCATTTATAACTGACATGTTCTGATTTTTATTAGAGGGGTAGAGTATTTACACTGTTATTAACCACTGAAAGTATTTCTTAATGTTTTGCAAGACAGGCCCTAATCTAAACTAATCTAGTTTTCAGCTTTTATAAAGCTATACACATCTAGCTGTTGCATTTAAGTGGAAATGCACTGGTTTAAACACGGCCTTACATTTGTGCGTACTTTTAGAAGTGATTTTTATTGTTGATTTAGGGGTATTGATTTCTAAAAGTCAAAAGAGTTGTTGCGGTCCGCCTGCCATATTTATTCTCCAGAATCACTTATATAAATAGTTTATGTAAATCTTTCTTTCCGTCTCTATTTATGTGTAAATATTGTGATTGTCATACTAATAATAGTTTGTCTCCACTGCTTGTACCTTTTTGTAGTCTCTGCACTTATGTCAACACGAAAATGTAGTCATGTTTCACGTTTGTCTGTAAAAGGGAATCATATGTCTGCCTGCTGCAGATTTGTTTGGAGTGGGTGGTTTTATGTTATTGTTTGACTACTTTTGAAGGTGACTTCATTTATTCTTTATTAATAAAAGAAGCATAAAGCCTTCATCTTGTTCTTGTCTGAGGTGAAAATTTAACACTGCAAGCAATTTTTCTATCTTTTGCAGTAAACTAAAGCCTCACTGTCAATGGAGTACTTTGAAAGACCAAAAATCGAGTATCTGGGCCTTAAAGACCAAAGTATAATTTATTTTTGGAAATAAACACTTATATGCGTACAGTAGGGCTGGACGATATGGCCAAAATAATATCACGATATATTTCTTAATTTCGGTCGATACGATATAATTCCGATATCGATATTAACACTATTAAAAAAAAAGCGTCGTAAAAACTGCCAAGAATGCCCACAACAGATGTCTGTGCATACAAACTTATGAAAAATTAATTTCCCAAGTCTATGACACCTCATATAAAACCATATAATATTTTAGAAAAAAAAAACAGCACAAATAAATTAATGTTCACCTTTTATTTGTATTTAGCCTTCATACAAACAAGAAATGTGAAATCACGGTCAAATAATAGTCTCAGACTCCCCTAATTAATATTAATATCTTTAACTTCAACCTATAGGCTAACATACACTACCAGTCAAAAGATTTTGAACAGTAAGATTTTTAATGTTTTCGAGAATTCTCGTCTGCTCACCAAGCCTGCATTTATTTGATCCAAAATACAGCAAAAACAGTAACATTTTGAAATATTTTTACTATTTAAAATTGCTTTCTATTTGAATAGATTTTAAAATGTAATTTATTCATGTGATCATACATAGGTAAATTTTCAGCGTCATTACTCCAGTCTTCAGTGTCACATGATCCTTCAGAAATCATTCTAATA